AACATGGGGCGCCTTGCCTCTTCCTGGGTGCACACAAGACACCAGGTGGGTAGGGGCAGGCAAGAGCAACCTACACCCCAGCAGGCAAGAGCTGGTTGCTACTACAGCCCCTCCAGCTACAAAACATCAGGGCCAGATGGGCAGAGATGCCACGCAGTGGGAACCCCAAGGAAAAGGGAAAATAGATTTCTCTGCAGTTCCTGCAGCAGCAAAGCTGATAAAGTTGCTGCTATGCAATCCTTTTGATTCCCATACTCATATCCCATTCCACTGCTGTTTACAGAAAATCAGCCTTAGGGTCTGACGGGAGGGAAGAGAGAAGCATGGGAGAGTCTGCAGCTCAGGAGTCTCAGCAGTGAGCTCGAGCATGGATTTTGGCAGCTAGAGGAGGATGAGGAGGAGGGTGCCCAATGTTCAGCTTCAGCACCCAGAGAGATGGTGACAGCCAGTCCCTGCAGGAGGGAGCTGTTAAAGATGGATCCTGAGCACTTGCTGCTTCTTACTCTCTTTCTCATGCCTGGTCTCTCTGCAGGGCTTCAGAGCAGCTCAGCCAAGTGGCCAGAGCAGGGCTGGCAGTGCTAGGAGCAAGGATGTGGGGTTTATGCCGATGTGGAGGTGAGGCAAGCCCTGGGGTGAGAGCAGCTACTAGCTTTGCTGCTCAAGGCTTAATGCCCTAAGAGCCCAGCTGACTCCTGCTCAGAAGCAAAGGGAAACAGCAGGCACTCAGGACAGCCAGGCACTCAGCAATGCTGTGTTTCCCCAAACCATGACGGGACAAAGGTTCGGGAAATGCATTGCCCTTTGCCTGCTGCCCTGGAGCTGCCTGAGCTTTGCCTGGAGTGATGCTTCTGGGCCTGGGACCACCTCGCCTGGATCAGGACACATCAGAAAGGGGCTGGACAGAGACATTGCCAACGGGACCTACATGCACAGCAACTTCTCAGGTACTTGAGTGAGCGATCACCTGTCTCTCCCTCTGTGGGGCTGCTCAGGGCCCCACTGTGCAGGCACAGAGGGTGAGGGGCATGGGGACGTGTTGATGATGGCATGATGGTGCTTCTCCTGGTGGGTTCAGAGGTATGTCTGGGGCATGCTGGGGCTGCGGGGCTTTTCGGCCTCAGCAGCTTCTGTGATGTGGGAGAGATGTGTGATATCAAAGGCAAAGTCGCTAGGCATAGGGAGAAAATTTAACACTTGACTATCTTCCTCTGAGAGTAAAGTTATTCTCCATGTTAACCTTTATGCATATCATGATGGACCAGCTCCCTGCCCAGGGTATGGGTGCACTGAACACATCTATGTCCCCAAGGGCTGAGCTGGGACCCTTGGAAAGAAATGAGGATGGAGATTTTTTAAAAGCACAAATGATCTCCAACTGCTGAGGGTGATTACTTTTTTTTTAATCCACTCCCTAGAGCAGAGCACACACTGTTCCCCAATGAGTGGGACATGGCTCAGGACTGCCGTGGGCTGACCACCCTCCCAGTGCAGGCAGCCTGCCCACCTCCATGTGCAGGCAGTGGCTCAGGGCAGCCCATGTCATACTACTGAACCCTTTGCCTTCCCAAACCTTTATGAACTATATGTTGTTTCCAAATTGCCTGTTGGGAACAGTCACTGGATCACCTTATCTCCAAATTACAGTGAAGGATTGTTGGGGAAGGTGCTAGCCAGTGCCGGAAAATTTAACCATACAACAGATTCAGACCAGGCATCCAGGTAGCCTTCCTGGCACTGCTGAATTTACTCATATAGACATCTCCACTACCTGTTAACAATATTGCTGGACCTGGAGAAAGTCTGGGCTTACTTAACCTGATTTGTTTGATGTAAGCCCCTCTGGACGAGAAGCCTGCATCATCTCAGAAAAAGCAGAGGCAAAACAAACCTCTCTCTTGTATTAGTTTTACTGCTGCATTCAGAATTTCCCTCAAAGGTTCCCCCTAAGCTAGATAAAGCACACTTCTGCTTGCAGGTTTTTAGCCTGGCTCAGCTAGAGTTGGTATTTTCCTTTAATTCAGGATACTGGTACCTGTGATACCTGTTACACAGTAATCTACTCATCCACATATTCTTGGCCTTGTGTTACCCAGGGTTTTTTTGCAAGCACACAGACTAGCATCCCTTTTGGAGCCTGACTCACTCCTGGCTCTCACCAGGTACTGGAGAAGCTGGAACAAGGACAGCACTAAAGATGCAAAGGGTGCAAAGCAGGAAGGATGATCTAAGCAGAATGAGTAGCTCTGAATAGTTGTGGGTAACAAATTAGAAAAAAAAAAAAAAAAAGGCTAGGATGGAGAAAGTATCTCTTTATAGCATAAAATAGTATTTTTATTGTTTTGAGTTCCAGCCAATGATATTCTTCTAGAATACTGGGGTGTTAAAAAATGCCTGTCCTCTTCCTTTCCCTCCTAAGGGTTGCTGTCCCCATCCTGTACCTTTCCAGTCCTACTTCTGCTGTTCAGTAGCTGCTCACATTGCAGAGTTATTAGACTTTTTTTCCAGATAAAGCCACTAGACTTCCCTATGTCTCTCCTTTAGAATTATGCCCCAAAAATATCAGAGATTTGCAGCACTCTCAGGAGCTACATAAGGGCCAGGCAACTCAGGATGGGATGAGCATCCACCTGCCATTGCACAGGGGTTTGGTTTCCTCACTCTGGCCAAGACAGTGAGGGCAGGAGGAGGAGGTAGGGTGCCCTAGCCACCCCAAAGGGGACAGCGAATGTCCAGCTTAACTCAATCAGTGGTCGTCAACACAGGTGAAATGTCATGCTTCATTCAGCAGGGTCCCTGCAGCAGCATTTCATGAGCTGCATAAGGTGAGGGGTTGCCAAAGGGTGAATTTACCTGGCATCAGCTCAGCAGACAACCAGGCCTTCTCTCACTCCCAGTAACTGGTACAGAAGTCATCAAGTTGGGTCAAAACCTGGTACCGGCTGATGCTCAACTCTGGGTGCCAGGCACAGGGACTCCAAGGCACAACTAAAAGCTTTCAGCAGGAGGAAAGCTGAACTTTGTAATAACAGCACATGCTGTTTATGAAAGTGCATGCAGAGCACGTGCCAGTTGCAAATGGCCCCCACATTTTTTGTGGTACAAGCTCATCAAATGGCTTAATGTCAAAGGAACAAAGTTTATTGCTTTAAAAGCTTTCTCTCGTGCACTGTGTATTGTGTGAGTACATACAGTAATTTCAGGAAAATTGCCCTTAAGAAAGTTAGATATTTTTGCAGCGGCAAGCAAAACCACAGTAGTTATAAATGCTGTATAGCTTATGCATGAATTATATTGCTCATGCTAGACACTGAGAATCAAAGACCTGAGGCCCTTTCAGAAAGTTTACGGGTAAACCTGTGGTGAAATAGCTGGCTAGAAAACAAAATTTGAAATGGTCTGCCACATTCACTTTTGCCTCTTCTCTATCTCAAGATAAGCAAATCTATTTTAAAAAGGTAGTATCTCACAAAAGTCAAATTAGAAACCCTTCAACCATAGCATATTCCTGCAATTGCTTAAGCTCAGAAGAACCCCAGGCATCTTTTTCTCTTTAAAAATAAAACCAGAAATAAGGCACTTCAGAGCTGTAAAACCTGGTTACACAGAGTCAGTGTCTCTGTTTCATAAAAGTAAACACAGCAAAATAAAGAAATTAACTTTGTTGCAATAGGTTACAGGTACTCCTGTAATAAAACATTCATAAAGTTCATTTGCAAATCTTGTCTTCTCAGCCCTAAACAGAAGCTGCAGTTTGTGCACCACTTAATTACAGAAACATCTTGGGTGAATAAAACAAAAACCTCCAAACTTCAAATCACACCTTATATTCTCCAAAATAAAGAGGTTTTAAGACAGTTCTAAGGAAAGAAGTCCCATGCACTTGTTCTCTTTGAAACAAAAAACAAACCTCTGTACTTCCAGAAGTCTTAGTTTGGTTATTTTGCAAGTGCTATAAGGTTGGGGGGTTTGTATTTCTGTTTATTACTTTAAAAACCTCAACATACCATTTCTGCAGACATTAGCAAGTTCTTTCGTATTATTTTGCCCTTGGAACAGGAGCCACTTCCCCAACTTACGCAAACATCATTTAGGTTCCCTTTAGGGTTTGATCAGGATTTAATTCATCTGCTCCTTCTGGACATTGGTCTTACGGCAGGTAGGGATCACACATTCAGATGGACTGTACACCCATCCAAGAAAATTCTGAAGGAAGTTGCTATTTTTTATGAGGGTAGTGAAGTGCTAGAACAGGTTGCCCATAGAGGTGGCAGATGCTCCATCCCTAGAAACATTCAAGGTCAGGTTCGACAGATCTCTGAGCAACCTGATCTCATTGAAGGTTATCTCTACTGGTGGGAGGGGGGTTGGACTAGATGACTTTTAAAAGTCCCTTCCAACCCAAACCATTCTATGTTTCAATGATTACAACCATTGAACTTTCCAATTAATTTTTAATTTACTTTAAAAAAATTTTACAAGCCCAATGTTTTTTCAAATACTCATACCTCCTTAACTCTTTTTAACTTATTTTTCCCTTTTTCCCCCTTAACTTCCCCCCACCCCCAACAAAGAGTTAAGTAAAAATACACGTTCCAGGTAAGACCATAACAAATGCGAAAACCAAAAAACTCCAAACAAGTTACCACCATTTTTTTTGTTTTATTCAGGGCTTAATTCCTGCTTTGTGCTTTATGCAAGACACATCGAACATGTTATGCTTTCTGTGCCAGGTGATTATTTTACTTTAATTATCTGAAAAAAAACCCATTCACTTGTAATACGATTTTTCTTCCATTCGCTTCCTTCTTTATTAAGCCGGTGTGGCGTCACCCACGGTCACCACTTTGTTGTTGTTTTTTTAATGGTTATTAAGAAAAAAGACATCCTGAAGCACCACTTCTGCTCACCCGCACGGGGGAGCGGGGC